GAGGGTAATTGAAACACCTTAGGTCAAGATTCAGAAAGATTTGTCCACCGTTGAGTTGTCAGTTTGCATCCTTACTAGAGAGGACAAGAGACTAAGGAATATGGTCATTCCCTTAGTGAAAGATCAATGGAACCGGAAGGGAGCTGAAGAGGCTTCTTGGGAGCATGAGGAGGACATGTGTCGCGTCTACACACACCTGTTTGGGCAGGTAAATTGATTTGATTATGATTTATGTTTTGCTTATGATTTATCTCTTTGGTCATATTTACATTTAATGCTAGAATGTGGATATTGACACTTAGCTCCTAGGTATTAGTAACACATGGTATATACATGGGGGTTCCTCGTTAGGATTTTTCGCCCGACGTACTAGTTCCGGTTGATTGGGGGTTAAGTGGGAACATTTACATTCAAGAACGTTAAATGTAAATATTGCTATGTTCATACCTAGAGATTAATGGTACGAGATATGTGTATGAGGGTTTCCTGGTTTGCATTATCCCCTCAACATGCTTTTCTGGTATTATTAATCTCTAGGATACGATTGTGGAATTTTGAGGAAGAAATTCTTTTAAGGGGGAAGAATATAAAACCCTAAAAATTTGAATATTTTATGATAAATAATAATAAATATCTTATATGAAGATAAATATCATATTTTAATGTTTGAGTATGCTAGGAATTTATTTGAGATCAATTCAATGTATATACGTGAATATACGACTGCAAATGCACAAATCACACACCTGACCAATTAAAAGTTTAGCTCTTTTACATACTGATGCAGTTAGAATCTGAAAAAACTCAAAAGACCAAAGTTGTAGGTCTCTTTAACAACTTTCCAACAAATTTTAAATCACCTTATTCCGAGATTGGATGAGAAAGTTACAGCCAATACACTAAACAAATAATGTACAGAAAATAATCTTCCATGAACAGTACCCCCGATCACTGTACCAGATTACTGTGAAGGAAATTGCTATAGCTTAGCTGTGCAGGTTTTTCTTTCGGCATTTTTCGTCGCTTTCGGCGATGTGAGGCCAGAGCTGGATGTCAACACTCCTCACTACCATAAAATATATGTGATTTGTACTGACAAAAACAAAACAAATGCATGATTTTCCTCTTCATGTTCCTTCTCTCAAAAACAAAGAAGAACCTGATACTAAGAGCATCAGTTCCCAGTTTCTAAAACAACAACTCCTCTTCTCCAAAGAAATCCCCGTCAAAGAAAAAAAACTCCAAACCCATTATCACTTCCAATTACTCCATAACAATCACTTCCTCCTCTCAAATCCTACTTGTAAAACTCCAAACCCATTATCACTTCCAATTACTCCATAACAATCACTTCCTCCTCTCAAATCCTACTTGTAAAACTTAGAGTTTCTCCTATGATGTTGAAGCTCCATAACAATCACTTCCTCCTCTCAAATCCTACTTGTAAAACTTAGAGTTTCTCCTATGATGTTGAAGAAGAGGAAACAGGGGAGTGTTCCATGTGCCATTTGTTTAGAGAAGACGGGGGATAGCGGTTTGCAGCAATGAGAGATATTGCACGAACGTTTGCTTGGGGATTTTCAGCGACATCGAGGCAAGACTACCCTCATCCAAACCTTTCCCTGTAATTAGTTGAAATTATAAGAAGTTTAAGAAATAAGATTTTTATGCCAGAGATTTAACTGCTATGATTAACTGCTATGTTAAAATAAATTAGATTTTCGATGATAATTTTGATCCAATGCTAGAACTAAATATTTTGTTTAATTTCTGTTGGAATTATATTTATGATCATGATCATTAGGATTAATATAAAATTTTATTTTATAATTGTAAACTAAGTTTTACCATGTAAAAATCCTAGTTTATTTGATTATTTGAGTTCTTCTTGTAAACTAATCATGCTAAAACCTAAGGTTGTGATATCTAAGATTGAAATCAAGTTTTAAAATGAATTACATCTCTTTTTATGTGTAATTCTATCATATTTTAATAATCAATTTCGTTTATATATGAGAAATTAAAGAGATTTACTAGTGGTATATATATTTTGCAGAAAACTGCTGCACGGGTATGATCTTTAACTATAAACTGGGTATAGCAAATGAACTCCAAATTGAACTAAACTAGTTTCAAAGGAAAGATATGTAAATCTAGTTTCTAAAACAGAAAATCATTCTTAAAAAGAGTTTGTATAGAGAAAGATATACTTTTTTTATTAATGACATGTTCTGCAGAAAACTGCTGCACATATATGATGTTTAACTAAAAATTGGGTATAGCAACTGAACACCAAATTGAACTAAACTGGTGCCAAATGTATATGATGTTTAACTAAAAATTGGGTATAGCAACTGAACACCAAATTGAACTAAACTGGTGCCAAATGAATGATGTGTGGATATAGTTTCCAAAACATAAAATCATTCCTAAAAATAGTTTTCCTAGAGAAAGATATGCTCGTTTTACTAACAGTAGTCCCGACCATTTCCTGGGAAGTTTTGCCCAGTTTCTTCTTTTCTGGAGTTGTTTGCGTTGTTTTAAGATGTGTTCGTGGAGTTGAGCCGCTCGATGTTACACTTATAGTCATGTATATGTTGTAATACATATGTGAGTATCCATAGAGGATTATGATAAAATATTGTTATGATTACACTTTTGAGTTAGTGAGTTAGTACACCGCAAATGAGACCGAGATGAATTTCATTCCACTACACATATTTGTTTATCCGCACGAGCATGCGAAGAGTTCGATGAACCTATGATAGTTGTTTATTCGCACGAGCGTGCAAATAGGTTGATGAACCTATGATAATTGTTTATCCGCACGAGCATGCGAAGAGGTCGATGAACCTACGATACTTGTTTATCCACACGAGCGTGCAAAGAGGTCAGTGAACCTATGCTTTCATTTCCACGTAGTTTGTGTAGAAATATATATACCTATCTTGCCGATTTTACATAGGGATATGTTTTACCATAGAGAATGATAATATTACAAACTATTTGACCTGAGATGCTTTACTTTCCAGTTATATTTTGATTGCTTAGTTCAGGGTTAATATTTAGTTATTTACTACCTGAGACATACGATATATACATGATGGTTTCCTTGTTTGGATTATTTCGCTCGACGTACTACGTCTCGAGTTGTAAGTTTCTAAATATTAATTCCATTAGATTTGGGAAAAATGATATATGTAGACTATGCTTAATAAATAGAGCCTCCACTTCATCTAGTAGCCCTCCCCGGGGGCGGATGGAGGTAATCTTGTTGTAGCGCTCTAACGCTCTTATTGTTGTTCTTTTTTTATTTTATTTCTCATTTAAGGCGGCTAAGAGAATCGGAGAGTCGCAGGGTGACGGAGTTCTTGCATAGTCACTATTGCGTATTTTTACTAGTATGGACTCCACAGTAGTCTTATGTTTCCATTCCGTCATTTGAGTTTGTACTCATATTGTTAAGGCAATTTACCTTAGTACGATTTCTAGTCGATCCATGTTGAGACATATCATGTTATTTTAGACTACGTATCTATTTCAGTTTATTCTAGTTGGCACATGATTTTATTTATGAGATATATCATTCTGCATCATGTCTATAGTATTT